TCGATTCTCTTTGGTGTCGTGTGCACCTAAGAGTGCTGATGTGTGTTTACTAGCAATAGTATACCGCCCTCCAATGTCCACCTTGAAAATGGATTAATACCTAGCTTCTGCGAGGAAACGAGTCCTGGCTGGACCTTACCGTGGTGCGATGGTTTGTATGCCTCAGCGATGCATTGAGCTATGCTAGATGGTGTTTTCTGCACCTTCAGATCCAATCATACCAGATTTGTCAATGGGTAGAGGCCAGACAAACTCAGCCTCCTGGTCCTCCAGGTTGGGTTTTGGAATGTGGATGGCTGCTCATTTCATAAAACGGGTTCTGTAGTCCAGTGCCAAAACCCGCTGTCTTGCGGTATAGAGTCTAGTTATATAGCTGTTGAAATCAAGGATGAATTTAGATTTCTCTTCACGATCATGATAACCGCACACATGCAAATATATCCAATATTTTGCGTAGAATCGCAAAGCATTAACTGCATCCTACACTACGTGGATATATACGTTGTCAGGAAGTTTGTATAAACTGTTTCTTCTTATGGTGCCTTGCCCAATTTAAATCCTCATATCCTAAAGGTGATGTGGCAGTACATCGCTGCTGTGTTGCAACCGTAAAGATTAAGAACAGCGCTGTATCTGTCAGACAGTCGTCATGCAAACCATTACTTCAAATATGTATGCAATGCAGTAAGACTTGCAGCTTTTACAAATTGCTCGACTGCCACAGAGCCGGCATGCAGTACTGTCTCTGAATTTATGTCTGCAGGACAAGCGAGTACTTGTCAAGCAAACTCTAAGAAGTTTTCATTTTGTCCACATGTTCCAAAAACCAAGATTGTTTACTTCTCTGCCACTTATCAAGTGATTGCAATCCAGAACACAAAGTCCAATAAATGCACTCGTTTCACGAGTTAGACCTTGTATATCCATCGTGATTCTATTATAAATGGTTTGGTTGAGTTTCGGCTGTCCTGGTCGGAACGGACGAACTCCTTCAATCGTTGATTCCCACGCGCATAGTAGTTTATATGAATCGAACTAGAACGACTGGTGGACTTACATGGCAATGGAGAACTGTAATTGATAAGGCATAGAGAACGCGCAAACGCCGCACAAATTTACTGAGGCCCATAGTGGGAACGTAGCCAATTGTAGGAATGAGTTTACTGACTCAGTCATGGCAACCTTGTATCTACGCCTTCGTTGTCATAGTTCACCATAACATAGTAATTTTTTAAACTCTAAGGGAAGGCTTGTGATTGTTGGCACACGAGTTGCCATGTAGTGGCCCTAATCCAGAGCAATGACGGGGTTGGGTGCAAGGCTGTTAAGACTTTGGGCACATCACAGTTGCTAAGTTAGCTTAGTGATTAACACAATGAGGTGAACAAAAGGAAGGAGGCAGACTGTTGACCTGGGAAGAGCCCTGGAGATCCGATAGTGTGACTGGGGTGAGTTAGCCCGAAACTGTGCAGGATACATTGTCCGTATACTCTCTGTGGAGTATTCCGTTGTGAGCTGTGCTGATGAGTGGGCTCTTGAAGGTAGGTCGGTAGGGAGAGCTCCGCTCTGAACTCAGTATTCCAAGTCTGGGCACATATACACCGAGTATATCAGATCCGATTTTGTACTGGCGCCCTTGAAATCCAGGTGAGTTTGGCAGCGCTGTGCCAGTCCAGTGGCAGATTCCATGGTTGAAATTAGTTGTTGTACATACTTTATTTTCCACAACTCTAATCTAACCGCTTGTGTAGCATGCTGGCCGAGAGGGGAAGGGCTGTAATAGCGCAGTGGTGTTAGGTGAGTGCAACCGAGGATTGACACGATTTCGCTGGATTTTCGGATGACAAGTAACCATCTCAACAAAAATGATGTTGCACTTACTTTGCGACATCTTCCTGTCAGGCATTTAAGCTAATCCTCATGGATCCACAAAAAGCATTATTCTTCTAATTCACCGATGGCTATTGCATATTGATCTTTTGCAACATTCAACAGTCGACTGACGGGTACAGAGCTTTGTAGTTTTCCCTGTAGCTTATACAGACCGATTACTCACGTGGCTAGAAAACGGCAACCAGTCGCCCTAAAGAATCCGGGAATGACTCAAAATTACTATTTGTGGATAATCACACGCTTAACAATCTCTCATATACGCGAGCGTGCAGGACCTCTACCATTGCAGTACCCTTGTCTAGTCTCGCTATGCAGACAAGATAAACAGAACAAGCGGCCAGAAATGAGGCTTCGAGACGAAATCGAAGTCATCTGTGCGATACGGTGTCAGCAATTTATGAAACCTCAAGAAGAAATCTCAGTCAGACGTGCTATTGGCGGTCGCTTTTTATCGCTGCTGCAACGCTTGCGGGACAACAAAATTGTTTTCGCGGATGTGTTATACAGGTGGACGTGATACACAGGTTAGATCAGTGAGGAACTATAGGAAAAATTTGGCAAGGATTTTTGACTGGTCCCCATGGGGAGGTAATCACCATAGATAGTTGGTCCTCAGATCAGATTGGAATGTATTTGCAAATGACACTTTGTGAGGGGATTTGTACATACCCTAATCGCAAACAGACTGCCTTTTTGGAATACAAATATAACTGACCGCTAACGACACTAAACTACTACTTTCAGTACCGGTAATTTGATTCTTAGCTTTGTGACTGCATGTATACCTCCACATTGGCAGTTCCTAGTGAAGTATATTGTCAAGTAGCACCTCGACGTTTTTAACATCTTTTCCTCACAAATTCCAATCAAACTACTTCATCAACTGCATTTAACATATCATAGACAATATCTATTACTTCTACCTACTGAACATTTAAACTTATTTCACGTAATGCATGTTATTGCAGTTCTGCCCTACCGTACCTGTCCCGCTTGCTGGTCGATCCAACCAAAACTATTAGTATGATGCGAAATGTTTGCTGCAGTGAGAAGTGCTGATGTATTTACACGTTTTATGTTTATTAGTAACAGTAATTTCATAGCCATAACCATCCGCAGTGATAGTTTAACTGGCTGAAAATACACCTATCTAGCTGCATAAAGCCTAATTTGACTTAACTTGACCTGACTTAAACCTGGAAATAATTACACAATATGTGGATATGCGAAACGCGCTTTTAGGGTCCTCATATGCGCCTATCGCATAAGATTAAATTTTACGGTGTACTCAAGCCTCTGTCCGATGGGCAGGGAGCATACCTAATCGGGTGCACGCAATTTGTAAATTTTCACACATCGATTCCTCCCGTGTCAAACTTTCTAATGGTCTCCTAAAAAGGAGCGCGCTTAGGCCCGCCATGTTATTCCATGTGAACAACAGCTATGACATTCTAAGCCATGGTCGCTCCTTGCTCTTTGCTGACGATATAATGATCTTATATTTCTTTCCCCAAGAGCCAAACTAACCGCTTTTGATGAAATCCGCGGTGACCTGAAAGCTTTCGAGTCATCGTAACAGCAGTGGCTAATAGCTTTCTCCGCTGATACATCGAGCATCATGGCCTACGAATAATCCACACAGGGTGACACATTTACTTTGTCTGACATACACATTCAAATTAATACGAAGGCTATAGATTTTAATACACGCATTCCATGAGCCGCAACTTTTTGGAGAATGTGAAATATTAATTTTCCAAAGCACGGCAATTAAGCTTCCACATAGGCTGGCACATAAGCACAACCGAGGGACGACTAGAACTTTATCGGAGTCATGTTCGCCTACACCTAAAATATTTCACCTTCAGCTGCAGTAATTTATAAAAGTCAGATCGCGTAATGCTCGAATTAGCTTAGCGACGGTTTACCACATTAGCTAGCGCGTAGTTGCCTACAGAGATGTGGTCATCTCAAACGCTAGACTACGTGGTTGCAAGGCATTCGATTAAATCTATGCTTCTTCCATAAGGTAGTACATCAACACTTTATGTGCGTAGATAATATAGGACCTATTTTCAACGTCCGATTCGGATGCTCATCGTTTTGAGACTAACGCAGATAAAGCATATAAACGCTTCAATCTGCTCTAGTCCAAATTTTTAACACAATGTTTTCAGCTTCGTGATATCTAAGCACCACGGGCTAACAGCTTACTCACATTCATCGCAGTTGCAGTCTTAACATCTAAGAGAATTCATTTGGACTAGTCGCACGCACGCATGTTACATGTGCTAAGAGTAAAAATCTGAGTAGAAAATGAATTCAGGCATCTCTGATTTGTTTCTGACTTCCTTCCGTTTCTCCCAAAGATACTTTACCATATCTGCAATTTAAGACTGCACAAGCGCCGCTTTCCACACAACATTTCCTCGTTACTGAGTACCGTCTGTTTCGATTGCACTCAATTAACTCAATTCCAGTACAAAAAACGCAGAAAAGTGGCTCTGAAACATGAGTTGCCGCTGTCTGTGTAATGCTGCCCGGCATGCGCAACTCAATACCGCCGCACAAAGGTGTGTTACATTCTTGCAGTATCGTGTGGCTGTACCGACTTTTCCGTAATTTTCTATTCCGCCGCTTTAACACAATACCTAATGTTCGGTACTTATCCTAGTCCCAATTTTCAACATCGTCTCCAATTTGCATAAAAATATAATCACTAGGTTGCATGCAACTAACAAGTTTCCGTCAGGTTGATTATTTTAATTTTCAGAAACCCAACGATTCTAGAGAGTTACCTTAAGGATTTTTGGCCTCAGAGGTTTAAAAAGTGTCCGCTTCCTCTTAGTCAACAGTTTATGTTAGGTTGATAGCAGAGAATGAATCGTTTCAGTGCAATACACATGGCTACTTGTTTGATGACCGCAGAGAACACTGCAAATCCTTGACATAAATATCCGCTTGGAACAATTATTTTACGCCTGTAAACCGCCAACATTGCTTTCCACAGTAGTTTTGACCTATGGGCATCACGCGGTATAATCTCTAATCAAAGTGGTTACCGTATGTGTCATACACTTGTCTTATTATATTTTGCTTGTACTTAGCAACGAATAATATTAAACTAAATAAAAACCACCCGGGTAAGCTTGCGTCGAATATTCCTGTTATCAGCTCATTCACCAGAGACGCTCAAAGGACCAAGCTATTCTTCATACTCCACCGTCTTACAAAAACAAAATGTGCCGTCATTGCAGCAACCCGAAATGATGTTTTAACTGCGGCGGAAGTGATAAATACCAAAAGTAGGATTGTACTCTGCTTGTTTGAATTAACCTTTCTTCTAGGTGCTGGTTCGAATCCGTTGAATGTGTAGCGCGCCAGTGTCTTCGTCACAAACTAACAAGTAAATTGCCATCAAGCGTAGCCTATATTGTGAACGTCCTTTCTCTCTACTCTTTGCTTTCCTATTTCGTCTCCGGTGTTGATGGTTTATAAATAGTCGTATGACTTCGCGCCATCTATCTAGTTGCACTGCGCTCGGGCTTTGATTGCAGATGTGACAGTACCGCTCATCTAGCTAAAATATTTGACAAAAGCGCATCATCCATCCAGCTCCGAAAAGTACTAGGTGATTTTCTAGCAGCCTACAAAATGTCTCTATTTTATTTCAGCCCCATCGGTCTGCTACGGGTTACGTACGCACCGGAACCGGAAGCCCTCGGAACCCTCGACCGGGTGCATACTACAAATTAGTTTCTGTGTATTCCTGCTGTAAGGTCTCTCTAAGAGCCTCTATTGCAAACCCAAGTGTGAGAGGTCGTCAATTCTAGACTAGAAGGCCTTTATCGTTTCACTCCGTATTGGTTTATACCTTATGTTTTCGACGTTATGTGAACGGCCACCTTCTTTCTTGTATAGGCCAACCAACCACTAACCTTATGATTGGTGTTCCTCTGGTCTCCAGCGCGCACCAACCATCTAGCCTTCCTGTCTAGTACGACCTACGTACCTCTTGGGGAATGCAGCACTTTGAAACCTCTACTGGACGCGTACGTTATTCGCAATGCGTTTATCATTTGAGCAACCTTATTAGCTCTGTGGTGGTCCTAGTCCATTCCAAACCTTAGTAGTGCTCAGAACAATATTTTAAATTGGTTTAAAATAAAGACACATAGTTTTTTGAGTCAGTTTGTTTTGTCTGGTGGCACCACTATCGTCGCGATTAATAAACCAATGCCAAATAGCAGAATATATAATTCGGCAAGTATTCGTTAGCATTAACTAGACGCTGATTAAATATGCAACATAACGCTCAGCTTTACGTGAACTTTTTAAGCGGCATGCGTTCCAAACCTTGCGAAGGTTATCTTATTTCTATGCAAATGTGCTTTACGTCTAGTTCTTTAATAATTTAATTATGTGTCTGTATGATTTGTTTTTCAAAATGACGTTCCATATTTTTTGAACCCGACTATAAAACATGTCTGTTAAAGTTACTAGTCTGGTTGAGGAAGAATAATGGTTTACTTCAATTTCCTAATGCTCTTCAGCATTAGGTTAGCTCCTACTTTAGGGGAAATGTTTGGTAAGTGTTTTATAACACGTAATGCGCATCGATATTCCTAATGCAGGAGAAATTCCATTAGTTTGCCAACGTTCTCTGAAATATCACTAGGCAGCTTTCTTATCATTCATGTACGGGCACAATGTTCCACCCGTGTTTAGCAGAGTCAAGGATACACTCTACAAATTTCCCAATAAATTCTACATGAATGAACCTCTAGGTCTCAGAGGTTTTTGCACGACTCAACAAGATAAAACACAACATTTTTATTAGCGCTAAAAGAATTATCAACTGCCCAATGGCACCGGAAAAAATGACACTTTTGAACGCCTTACTTTGCCGACTTGCATTTATTTAATGTAAGGTTCTGTTAGGTCTTGTGAAAAATAGGCAAATGAGAATAACGCTATAACGAAATTTATCGGTATTTAAGTTAAAAATCTTGTCGTACTTTTGCTTTTCAGTAGACAAACACGCCAAGCCTATAGTTAATTGCGAAAACATAGCTCCAGAAAACGGAATATAATGCTTTATTTATCCAGAGCACGATTAAATATTAATAGTTAAACTGCAAGGTGGTTTTTTGCCTTGTTGCTGGTTGCATCCTCCTGTTAGTAAACTAAAACTGGATTAACGATTTCTGACGATTGATGCACTCTTAACTTGGTCGCCTACATATATCTAGGCTAGAAGTATGTACGTTTATGTGAGACTATAGTGCAAGTTAAATACTAAATGCGGGTAACAGATAGCCAAAATATTAAAATCTGTGGTGCTCCATCGAAGGTGGATCGGGCACATGCGCGGAATCAATTCTATGATTCCTTCGCAGTGGTAGCATATTGAAGCCTCACTTCATCAGTTCCGGGTGCGACATGCTCCCTATACCGGTTGTCCGCGAACTGGATGTCAAGAATCTCTTAAATACCGACACCGATTACGGCTCGATTGGGGTCTCCGGTAATTTATTTCAATATTTCACCAGTAGACGCGTGAAGCGTAGAGAAAAAGCGATGTTCTATAATTCATGTACCACTTGTTTGTACCCGCGTCCGCGTGCACTGCTTTGTTCGCGAACGTGCAGCAGTGGTTTTAACATAGGGAATTGGCCCAGGTGCAGTACTCAGTGGGCCATACCGTTATAAACTCGAAGCCGACGATATGATAGGGTATAAATCCACAGTCTCCCACAACGGTCATCGTACTATTTACCACGTAAACTGGTGATGAGCCGGTAGCTAAATGCTGGACCCGTTCCCGTCTCTGCACCTCACCTACTGTGATCGGGCAATAGGCGGGTGAGCCTTACTCAAGCACCGGTCTTATTATGGAGGTGAACGGGCGGATGGTAATCTCTTCAGAACAAGTGAAAAAGCTGTGTCTAAGGGCCTAAAGAAGGCGCAGTCTGTTTGCGTACCATCTGTTCGTGTTGTGGACAGAGTTTAGTTCATAGCGTGTGAGAACGCTTAGATCATTTACGAAACTGGTAGGATGCAGCGCGTGGAAGGACAGGGTGTAGCCACGCCTACTACTACCGTACCCCAGGCTCATAACCGAAAACTTGGTCGTGTTGACCGGTAGGTCAACTTCTGCAGACCACTGGGATAGGCGGTCGAGGTCCTGCAGAAGGGCGACACAGTCGCCGGAAGAATTAATAATCCTCCAAACGTTCAGATCCTCCGCAAATAATGCTCAGGGCGATCGAAGAAACAGAAGTTATTCGTTGATGTGGATAGACAACAGTAATGTGCCTTGGGGGTACGCCGCTTGTGGACCGGTACCATTACGTTAGGTGGACAGCCACTTGAACCCGCCGTCTTCATTTAATAAGGAAGTCACTGATCCACTGCTGCGGTGCGCCACCAACACAACACATCCTCAGCTTGTAGTGTAGGACCTTCTGGTTCACTTTAGTGGAAGGGTTTTTGGAACTAACGTAGCTAACATCCACTGGGTTTCCCTGATTCAACGCTTGCAATCATTCCTGCCGCGTCATCACCAGGTTTGTGATGGATGAGCAGGCCTAAATGGAGCCGCGCTGTGACGGCATTAGCTCTTTAGAATCCAGCAGCTGGAGAAGACCCTTTTCAAAAGCTTCTCGAGCAACCTTGCTAAAACGGATGTGAGACAAATCAAACGGTAACTGACTACACTGTTTTGGTCACCTGCCGTTGAACACGGCTTCACGACCGAACATTTCCAATCGCTCGGCAACGCACCCTCGGAAAGCAATCTGTTGAACAGATCCGTCACATCTGACGAGATGATGATCCATAAGGACCTGAAAATTAGCGAGTGAAGTCTATCGGGTCCCGCAGGTTTTGTGCCATCAAGACTAACGAGTGGACCTCGAACATCTTCTACACCGCAAGCAAGGCCCTCGAGTTCAGTAGGGACTGCACACTTCGAGCTTGGTATAGGGAACTGCGCACCTGTATATACGGAAGCGAAGTGCTCCGCCAATGTGGATGCCTGTTCAGTGCTGGAAGTCAGAGGTGGTCCGTCAGTGCCCTCTAACGCACATACATTACTTGCGGTCATCAGGCGCCGCTTCACGTAAGCAAAAAGTTTCCTGGGAACAGTGTTCACTGAGACCGCAAGCTGCTCTTCGAACTGCCGAAACTTTCGCAACTTTGTCTTGTTAAATACATTCCGCTGCCTATTGTACGCCCCGTAATTGTCGGGACAGCCAGACACGAGGAATTTAGTCCACAATACCCGTCTCTCTCGAGCCAGTTGGGCATACACTCTGTCGAAGCAATGCGGTTTCACTGGCCCAGCTTTCTGCTACGAGAAATATGTAACCAGCGCACAACGATTGTACGCTCTCTTTTATAATTGACCAAGTGGCTTCCCCAGTCAAGTCTTGCGGCAGAGACCAGTCTACTTCACTGGCCGCTTGATTCAGACTATTGTATTCGGTCTTCCAATGATTGCAGGCTGAATTTGGCAGACGCAAAAAGGGCTACGGCAGCTCTAGGCTGGGTATCACGAGGTCAGTAGCTGCCAGTGGCTGCAGGACCTAAAGTTCATGCACAGGTTGCTCGCGACTAGTTAATAGTAGGTTCAGGCACGATGGAGTGGAATGCAGTTTTACGCGCGTCGGTTGACCGACATGTTGTGCTGCCCCAGTTTTAAATACTATCTCCGTAAAGTGCGCCACGACATCACAGTGCTTGGGGAGAAGTTCAACCTCAGACCACTGTATTCGTGAAGAATTAAAAGCACCCATCAAACGGTAGGGCTACTGACCCATTTAGCTTCTAGCATGCGGCAACCAATCGATTTCGCGGGCTGCAATAGGCTGCACCCACAAAAGCTTCACCCTGTCTCTGCGGATCGAGCATAATAACTGCTCGCACAATCCATCATCACTACGGAATTTGTGGATCAGTCGCACGCACAACGGGGACCGAACCTAGAACAGCACGCCGCCTCAAGCGTTTGATAAAATGCTGCACTGGAATTACTAGTAGCCAATGATCTGAACATCCTGTGTAAAGACCCCCGGGGTTAAAACACGTTTCAAACAGTCCTAGTACGTCCGGACGACGTGAGGCAATGAAGTGAAATACATCCTCACGTTTGTTCCTTGAAATACAAACATTTGTGAAGGCTACAAGCAGGTCGTGGTATAAACTGGCAGAAACGCATGAAGATTCATCTATCTGTTTAACCGGGATGGGCGGTGCCGGGGAACTACCCGAATATTTTCAAGGAGGAGATTTGCTTCTCCAATATTGGTCCACTGTTTCGGCTCCACTATAGCGGACTTCCGTTTCTCTCGGTCCGGCGGATGCAACGCAGGATGAATATGGATCTCCAGACCTCCTAGCTAA